GCTTTTTTTCGCTAAACCATTTTAGGTCGTTGAAGCGATTTTTTAATCACAAGTTTATTGTTGTTTTAAAATATTAAAAAACTATACTTACAATTTCCTATACAGGGTGTCCGGGAAAAGGAGGTCAATCCGTTAACCATATATTCCTTGAGTTAAAACAATAAGACTTTCATAATACCATTTTTCAATTTAGAGCTTCATGTTCGATATACAGAGCGACAAAGTTTGAAATTTAAAACTGATTTTTTTTAATAATTCGAGTAGGTAATTGATAAGATATTAAGTTTAAATTCGGTACACTACTTCAACATAAATAGTTACATTTTTGGAGACCAACAAAACAAAAAACTATTGTCAAATAATCAATATAGGGGGGTCCAGTACTCACTGACTCCCCCTATTTTTTAGTACGTGCGCCAATGACTTCTAAAAGGTATTTTTTTAGGTAATCATTTATTGTTGAACATTTTTTGTCTCTTATAACATTTTGATAAAATAATTTGTTTTAGAGATAATTTGTAAAGTATGGGTCAGTCCATATCAAATTTTCGAAATTTAATTTTTTTTTGAAAAAATTTAGGTCATGTGATATATCATAAAAAAGGTCTCTAATAGGCCTTTAAAATAAGCCACCTTTCACCTTTCTACTTTTAATAGTTTACGAGATATCGCTATTTTTGTAAGTACGTGCAAGACCCAAATTTATTGGAATTTTCAAAAGTCAATAAAACAAAAACCACCTATCAAAAAAAAATTCATATATGGGATTTTTGAGTTTTTTAGTGAGGTAAACAAATTTACCAAAAATTATCAAAATCGGAGATGGTGGGGGAAGAACCTTTGGTTGATTTGATTTGGACTGACCCATACTTTACAAATTATCTCTAAAACAAATCATTTTTTCAAAATTTTATAAGAAACAAAATTTTTTTAATAAATGATGATTACCTGAAAAAATACCGTTTGGAAGTCATTAGCGCTCGTACTAAAAAATAGGGGGAGTCAGTGAGTACTGGACCCCCCCTATTTTGATTATTTGACAATTATTTTTTGTTTTGTTGGTCTCCAAAAATGTAACTATTTATGTTGAAGTAGTGTACCGAATTAAAACTTAATATCTTATCAATTACTCGAATTATTAAAAAAAATCAGTTTTAAATTTCAAACTTTGTCGCCCTGTATATCGAACATGAAGCTCTAAATTGAAAAATGGTATTATGAAAGTCTTATTGTTTTAACTCAAGGAATATATGGTTAACGGATTGACCTCCTTTTCCCGGACACCCTGTATATGTTCTATGGAATCCCAAATTTGTTAATTCCCTGGCCAGTCCACATCTTGTGTAATTCCGACTTTCAGCATATTTAAAAAGTATTAAACTAACAAGTAACAAGGAAATACCATAAATAACTTTAGTCATTTTTTTTCTAAATACAAAATTATAAGTAACTAACTGTTAAATGTTGGTCCATGTATAAAGATAATATTTACAAGAAATTAATAATTATTTTAAATACAATTAATAATATTGACATATTATGTAAGTAAATTCGTAGAAAGCCAGAAAGGTTATCAAAATTATAATATTTTTTTTCAAGCGGCCATGATATACAATCTTATATGCCTGTATAGAGATAGTTGAAGTGCGTCTTTTTCATTAGCGGCAGACAAAAAACTCAAAAAAGCTTAGGGATAGAAGTAAATTCATAGGTGTCTCAATGGATGTCAAATAATAAAATTAATTTAGCATTTCATACAAAGCAATCACGATGTATTAATTATATTAATTATAATCGCACGGAATATTTAGTGATTATTTATTAAATTTTAATTGAACGAAATAAAGAACAACTAATTTATTAGCAAAATATTATGATGATAGACGAGTCGCCAATGTCGGAACTCCAAACAAATGTCAGTACGTCAAAATTAATTCAAGCGCAGCATTTTGACAGCAGTGTTTATTTTTAGTTTAGAATATTTATCGGCATTGCAAGTAAGGGTTCTAAGTTTTTTTTAGTTTTTATCAATAATTTCTAATGCTTTTAGCCAACATTTTATACCACATGAGTTATGAGTAAATAAAATAATTCTATTGCTTATCCTATTTATATTACGCCCTTGAAAAAAAAATTGTATATGTTATTTGGAGTAGAAGCTCTTTTTGTGCTTCGTACAGTTGCCTGCCTCAGCTACGCTTCGGCCGTCAATCTCTGTACTCACCACAAAAAGAGTCACTTCTACTCCTTATGACATAATCTATAAAAAATAGTTTCCATTAGCATTCAGTACCTAGTGGTTAGAAATAGAACCATCACATGCATTTTTTATTACTGAGCACAACTGGTTCAATTAACGTTATACCTGGTTAATTCATTTAAGTAATATTAATTAATTCTACCATAACGTTAAGTTAACGTTATTTTGTAATAAGTAGGGTATTAAATTATTGATTAGAATCTAACTTAGATTAACTTTTTGTTAAAAATGCGTTAATATTTGGTAATTTCAGGTTTATATTAGCCTTTTTTGGCTACTTTCTTAACTCTTTAGTTAACTTAAAATAAAGTATAAAAATTACAGTGGCGTATTTAGGGGGGGGGTCCGCCGGGTCCGGACCCCCCCCCGGGCGCACATATTTTATTATTTTTATTACAAAAAAAAGTTAAAAAAAAATAAAAAGACTGTCAACGTACTTTATTATTTATTAATTATATTTAAATATAAAATCATTAAAATCAAAAATTAACTACTTACGTATTAGCATAGCATAGTACATATTTAGTTAGTTTTTTTGGACCCCCCCGGAGCTAAATCCTAAATACGCCACTGAAAATTAACCGGTTTAAGTTTATTTATTATAAATATTAAAATCTTTAGATTTAGTAGTTACCTATAACAAAAAAACCAATGGGGTTTTTTTTCTGATAAAGTAACACATAATCAATCTATATTTTAAAAGCGCTTTAAAAATAAGAATTTTTTTTTTAATAATTTTGTATTTTTTTTTTATTTCGTGTGAAATTAATTTAAAATACTATTGAACTCAAAACAATATTATGTTTTATGAATTGTGTGGTTAAATTACTTAATTTTTCTAATAAACAGATAACATAAAAATTAATAGCGTCTTTTTTTGTTAAAATTGACAACTAATATGGCACATTTTACCAATTTACGAAAAAGATATATCAAAAGTTAAATTAAACCAAAATATATCTAAAAAATAACTACTCTTAATAATTTTCGTTGGTTAAAATTAAAAGTTAATATAACGCTATGTAACTTCCAAAATGACCTACTTTTTAACTGTACCTAACTTATACGTATAGGATATTTTAAAAGATTTAGGGCCAGTATATTCACCTTCCACTAAATTTACCCAATGCTTAATTGTCATAGTTGTGTCAACAATGGTTTACATAATTACCTTTAAACAATGTTGAATCAACTAATTGGTTAAAAAAAAAATTTTTAAACGGTATCTTGGTTAATTAACTTGGAATCCTAGTCATTTAACCAGTTGTGCTACTTGGGATGGGAATGGAATATTAAAATTAAAAGTACGACATCCGTAAATCAAAAAGAGTTTTTTATAATACCGGTTGCGAGCATGGCGTTTTTACCATGGTAATACAAATATTCCACAAATATTTTATTGAAAATACAAATTAAATTAAATTCAATTTGTATTTAGAATGTATTACAAGAATTTTGTCCTAAATAAATAAAAATGTATTAGGGGACATCCATTAATTACGTGAGGCATTTTTCTGATAATTTAAACCCCTCCCTCCCCCAAATCTTACCAAGGGCCCTTGGTGAGATTTGGTGTGATGTGGTAGCCATTATCTTTCATTGCGGACAACATGATAAATCAAAAAAAAAATTGATTACTTTTTTTTGACAAATTTGAATTATAATACTTATATTCTTTGAACCCAAAAGTTGACGTGAGATTTTAAATGACCCCCCTCCCTTAACATGAGATTTGGTGAGATTTTGCTAGACCCCTCCCCCCTATTTTTATCTCACGTAATTAATGGATGTCCCCTTAGTAACTAGATGACCCAGTAAACTTCGTTCCACCTAAAATTCTTAATAAGCGATTAGGGGTCATCCATTAATTACGTGAGGCAATTTTGGCGATTTTTTGACTCCCCCCCCTCCCCTTGGTGAGATGTCATGAGATTTTGCTCGACCCTTCCCCCCTCCCTTAATCTTACCTGAGATTTTTTTAAATGCATGGTTTTAATAAGTTAATCTGTGATTGATTGATATTAAAAAAAACAATTGTTATAATTGTTTACCTAATTTAACTCAGTTTTTTTCGCAATTTTACACTGTTTCATTCGAAAAAACGTGAGATTGGGTGAGGTTTGGCTCGACCCCCTCCCCCCCTAAACATTTCACGTAATTAATGGATGCCCCCTTATCAATCCTTATGAACCTTTCAACTCTAATTCATTAAGATTGTGTACGGTTTAAAACTTGTTTGGTTATGAAAGTTTTTCATTTAATTTGAAGCGCAGCTACGAACGCCATCTATTCAAATTAATCCAAAGTTGTACGAATTTCAATTTTTTCGATTTCCGGCTGTTCTTTTCGGTTTTTCCTAATGTAATTTTTATTTAAATCACCCCTGTATTGGGGCGAACAAAACAACAAAAATATTTAAATCGGTTGAGCCATTTCCGAGTTTTTGCACGACTAACTCACGGCGATTCATTATATATATATATATATATATATATATATATATATAGATTAATTAGATTTGGGTGCAAATTATATTATGGATATAAGGCAACCTTATAAAAAAAAATTTCAAGTAAGTGGTCGCCCTCTCGGGGTCATCAAGAAGTTTTTGGGAAGAAGTTTTTGAACTAGGTTTATAAGGTTTGTAATTCCTAAGGAATTATTCATTTAAGGTAGCCTTATAAGAATCCTCATTCTTATAAAGTTTCCAGACTTTTCCGGGTTTGGAAACAAGGCCAACTTAGCAATAAAATTATTTTTTAATTTATTTAAAAACAAACTCTAGCGATTAACAAAGGTAGATATCTCATATAACAACTCCGCTTCCAGCCCGGCCAACCTCTGAATCCTTTTTCTTGGTGCACTTTCTGGACACATTTGGAATCGTCTGTAATGTCTTCGTTGAGCAAATCTACAAAAAAATAATGAAACGTCAGTTGAGCTTTCTTTTAAAATTCATTTAAACTTTTTTTAGCATTACCTAAATTTAGTTTTATATTAAAATAAAACATTAATTCATGATTGTGATAATTTATTTACATTTTTAATAAAAAGCTTTAAATATAAATTACCTTCACATTTCATGTTACATTTTCCCCCTTTTTTCTTAAATGTACACCATACCTTGCTATTAATCTAAAAACAATTAAAATATTTTTATTAATTGGTAATTTTACCAATGTAACCCAACATATAAATGTGATTTTGAACGACTAGAACACTATACATAATTACAAGAAAAGAACTGTTTTGGGAATGGTTACTAAAAGTAGCTGTACCAGCTGTGATATTTTAGGAGATAGTGCTTTTGTTTAGTAATGATATATTTAGCATACATGTTTGGAAACTATTCCTAGACTGGAAAGTAGTACCATTTAGGTAGGTACTACCTAATTACAAAACTAACTCGAAATACAAAAACGTTGTTAATATGTCTTCTACGCACGGAGTGTCAACGTACAAACTTAAAATTACCAGAAAAATACTAGAAAACAAAAAAAAACGTAGGTTTAAATAATTAGATTTAAGGTTGAGTTAGATTTTATCCTTCAACGGCTGTACAGCGCTCCATGAAAAAGTCTGAAAATAATTGACTTTGCCCCTTGAAGGATAAAATGGGATAAAATGGGTTTCAGTGAGGTATTTTGTGATTTGTGCAATCGATTTAGTGGATGTTTCAAGATTTGAAATTCCATATGTCCGTGAGTGGATGACTTTGAGAAGCTCAAGGACGTAAAAACCTGTAACTGGGCAGTAAGAGCCTAATTGGCTCAAGTCCAATTCTCTCGAAAGAGAGAATAAAAAGTATAGAAGAAGAAGAAGATTTAAGGTTAAGATTCGGTTTTATTATAATAACCACAAAAATGACCTTCACAAAGCAACCCCTTTTTTGCTATTTAACAGTACTAAAAAAATACTATTTTTTTTTTAAATACGCGAATAATTATTTATTCAATTTCTCGTTATAAATATCAAATTTAACCATCTTGTTGTCGTTAAAACTGGAGAACAAAAAATAATCCTAACAAAAGTTTATTAAAACTAAACAAATTGTTCAACTACAATCAAAACACTTTAATGTGTTTAGCTTTTTAAATTATATGCAGAAAATAACTCGAATGAGTCTATTTTAAAGTCTTTTATAATTTTAAAATTGTTGTCACGAAATATTATTATAAAACAATTTAAATCCTCAATGGAATGTATATGTTTTGGTGGTTTTTGTATTTATTTATAAAAACTTACAAAAAAGACTGCTATTTATGGTGATTAGTTTTAATACCTTAAATAGGATTGTTTGTTTTCCAAAATGGATTACACAACGGATGAACGTGTTGAAATCATTTTTGATGATAGTGCACAAGATCGTTGTGCTCAGAGCACAGTGCTCTACGAACTACAGTGGCATTTAATGAACTACACCCTGACAAAAATGTGCGTCATAAATATGTTTAAGAGCTAATTACAAAATGTGAACAAACGGGATCTGTTTGCAATTGAAAGAGAAGCCAACCTAGAATACTCAATGAAGCCACCCATATTGAGGTTCTTGGTCAGTTTGGTGTAGATCCTAAAATATCACTCCGTTTGGCGTCTAGATTAACAGGGCTTTGCCCTGAGCCTGTTAGGAAGGTGTTGAAACATGACAAATTTCACCCATTTAAAATGCATATTACACAAGAACTTGGCAATGATGATGCAGACAGGAGTTTAGAATTTTGTGAAATCATGACCAATGAAATAACGAATCAAATTCTAATACTAAAAACATTTGCTTTAGCGATGGGTGTACTTTTTATCTAAACGGAAATGTTAACCAACTTAATTGTCGTTATTGGAGCAATAAAAATCCTCATCTCATAAGAACCAGTATCCTGAAAAATTTAATGTCTGGGCAGGAATTTTGGGTGATTGTAATACAATCATTGTATTATTGGTCCCTTATTTATTAGATGAAACAATATAGCCACCAATAATAAATGGACTAGACAATCAAAGGGGAGACGATGATGAACTAGCTTTGGATGAAATTTTATTACATTTTTAACAAGATGCGGCACCACCTCATTATGTAGTAGCTGTTAGGGCTTAGCTGGATCAGAATTCAGAACAGTTGATTGGTAGAAGAGGACCAATAGAATGGCCTCCTAGATCTCCAGATCTGACACCATTAGAATTTTTCTTATGGAGTCACCTAAAATATGTGGTCTACAAAACTATTGAAGATCTGCGACAAGAAATAGTTCAAGAGTGCTAATGACGTTCATTTCAAAATGTTCAAAGGGAATTTGAGAATAGACTGTACTATTGCCTACAAATAATGGGAGTCATTTAGAGCATTTAATTTAAAAAGTACCCGTTTATACATGCTTTTTTAGTTTACTATACTTTTGTTAGAATTATTTTGTTTTCTCCAGTTTTAAAGCAACAAAATGGTTTCATTTGATATTTAATGGGTTAATTTGATATTTATAACGAGAAATTGGAATAAATATTTAAGTATAAAAATTATTTTGCGTATTTTTAAAAAGTATATTTTTTTAGTACTTTTAAATAGCAATTTTTAAGAGGTAGAGGTAGAGGAAAGTCGCCTATTATGAGGAATATAATATTCCTAATATAATAATATAATATTCCTAATATGGGGTAGGCATGTATCTTAGCAACCAAACTAGATACATCTGTGTTTTATTGGACAAAGCATACCTACTATAGCCTATTATAGGCTATAGTAGGTATGCTTTGTTCAATCTTAGGCGTATGGATTTCTACTTAATATTAAAGCCATGTACCGATCAGCTGTTCTGTCATTTTTATTTATACGTTTTAGTGGTATATATGTAAGTTTTATCTGGTGCTTATTAAAACGATTTTTTTTCAAATACAAGGTAAGTCCTATAGTGGGATTGTTAATTTGTATTTTGTGCATATAGGTTTTTGCTACTGTTTTTATTTAAACAAAAATATTTCATTCTTTACTATTTGCCGAACGCGTCCTAATATGAGGTACCAAAATATTCCTAATATGGGGTAACTCATATATGCATATCAACGCCATAATGAAGACATATGACGTCAATATGACGTGCGATGCTACTTGGGTTGTTTAGGTTATAATATTTTAATTTGTTTAGTTATTTTTTTAAAAATCTATGACAAGGTTTTAATGTGAATCGGGACATCATATTCAGTTTTTTATGACTTATTTATAACTATGTTTTTTATATCAATAAAATTTTAAAGTTGTAAATACCTTTTATTTTTTTTTATTTTTTTATACTATCCAATTGCACCATATACTTTTTTCAGGTAGGTTATACCAGAACCCCTTGTAGCCTTATATGGGATATTGCCATTTAAAAAAAAATGAGTTGGGATGGCTACAGCCCCAGGGATTGCTTAGTAAAGGTCATTTTTGTGGCCATATTGATCACATATCCACATATCCTAGAAAAGGTTTTGAAAATTTTTTGATATATATTTGATATATATATATATATATATAAATATATATATATATATATATATATATATATATATATATATATTAGGTCCAGACGTAGAGCATTGCTAGTTTTTAAATAGACGATTAAACGATAAGTTATCCTGTGGGTTATCGTCGTTAACCAACAAAATGCACAAAATAAGATAAGAAATAAAGCGCGAATAGCTTAGAGCATAAAATGCCATAAAATGACAAAACATTAAAAAAATTATGACACGTTACTATAACTAAAATATCAATCCTTGATATTTCAAATTCATTACTTTTAAGTTAAAAGTTTTAACAATCAATACCTAACGGAATATTAATAGTTGGTCAAATGGTTATTTGTTTTACTTAACATTAACTTTATCCCTAAATTCCATTTCAAATTTGGTCAACATTTTTTTATATTATTTTAACTTGACTATGGGCAGGTTTCAGTTAGTCTATCTGACAGTTAAATTCCATATCGATCGTTGTTAGAACAATCGTATCCATGGAGATTATCTACCAGATAACTAACTGCAACTTTAACTGGACATTGATAAACCGGCCCTATCTCTGGTTAAGTACCAGTTGGTCTATCTGACAGTTAAATTCCATATCGATCGTTGTGAGAATAATGGTATTCATTGAAATTATCTACCAGATAACTAACTGCAACTTTAACTGGAATTTGATAAACCGGCCCTAAGAAAAGTTACTGTTTTTTTAAATTTTTATGAACATCATTCTTTACGTCCCTTTTTTTATTTAATTTGACTTACTTGAAACAAACCCAGCTCAATACTTCCATCTGATTTTCGTGATAATTTATCAGTTTTTTTACCGCTTGAGCTTTCTACCAAACAAACCCCTGAAACAAAATATTTTATATTAGTTTATTTTATTTATTTTATCATTTTTTTTTTCAAACTGTTTGCTTTGCTAAAAAATAGTCAGTATATCAGAAACTGTTGCTCAGTATAAATAAAGTAGTTTTTATACCTAATATTATTAATTAAAATATCATTATATTAAAAAGTAATACTTACAATTTCCTATAAATGTCCTATGAAATCCCAAACTTGTTAGTTCCTTGGCCAGGCCACATCTCGTGTAATTTCGACTTTCTGTGTTTTTAAAAAGTAAAAAAAGTAAAAAGAAAATACCATAAATCACTTTTGCCATTTCTATTAGAACTTCACATGTATAGTATACATGTGAATATATGCATATTGCGTATATGCAAGTACGATAATAATATTTTTAGTTAATTAATAATTAATATTAAAATATTATATATTCGACAGAAAGGCACAAAGGTTATCATAATTTATCACAGCCGAACAATAGTTTATAGTTCGTATACTTTCCACTAACATACAGTAAAGGGTTAAAAGTAGAAAAGACACACACGTTTTCTATTGTGAAGGAATAGGAATAAAATATTAAAAAATGTTAAAAAACAATTTAAAAAAAACTTAAAAAACACGTACTAAAAATTTAAAAAAATTAATTTACGGGGTGATTTTTTGAAATTACATGCTCTTTAGAGATCCGTTACCACGTTTTGTTGGTCATTAAGTCATTAATGTTCAATGACTATGCGAACAAATCGTGGAGCGCCTTTTAGTAACGTTTCTCTAAAGAGCATGTAATTTCTTAATGAAGAACTGACAAGTTTATTAATAGCACATATTTTAAGTAAATTTAATTATTTTATACTTTTTTGTGCGTTAAAACGTTTTTAAGTTTTTAATTGAAATTAGATTGACGTCTCGTATTCTGCTCGAAAAAACCTTTCATTTTTTTATACCTAGGTATAGCTATAGATGAATTCGAAGTTATATTATGTTATGTTACTCTCTAAAAATGAATTAGTCAAAAATGACTAATTTAATAGTTATTAGTGGCACTTGTACTCTGGTTAACCATGGAATACCATGGTATTTAAAAATTTAACAGCTAAATATTAAGTAAAATTGTCCCCTGAATCCGAAAATGTCGTCAAAAGTTAAAAAAGTGAAACAGTTTTTGAGATATAGTCAATTTTCCATTTAATATGGAATTGACTATATTTCAAAAACTGCTCCACTTTCATAATTTTTGACGGTATTTTCGGATTCAGGGGACAATTTTACATAAGAATTGGCTGTTAAATTTTTGAATACCATGGTATTCCATGGTACAAGTGAAAAAGCAGCCACTTATAACTATCAAATTAGTCATTTTTGACTAATTCATTTTTAGGGAGTATGTTATGTTATTATTCGAGCTATTGGCCCTTGATTAATGAGACTACTGGCCCAGTAGTACTGGGAGTGGTTTTAAAAAGCTTTTACTTTATTATTAATACAATATAAGATTTGTTATATTGTGTGTATTTATTGGTAAATATTATATGGTATTTTTACCAAATACCCTTTAATATTTCGAAAGTCTTGCATAAACCATAAAAAATTATTGACAAAACTCAAAAACGGATTCTTTATTTTCAATTAAGTCGAATTTTGATTTGAAATACAATTTTCTTTACAAAATGTATTGGAGTTCGAACGCTGTAAGTTTGATATCGCAACGTCATCGCTCGACAGCGGTGGGCAGTGCATGGCTGATGACGTGCAGCATCAAACTTAAAGCATTCTAACTCTACCAATGCAAAACAAAACAAGATTGGTGATATAGCCAACACTTTTCTTTGGTGATAAAATAATAACAAACAAACAAACAAAATTTAATGTCAGCTCCAAGAAAAATTGTTTTTCCACTCCCACCTTTAAAACGTCCATTATCGTACATGTTTCCATGACACTAAGTAACCTTTTAAATACACATTGACAAGTTGTGGCTTTATGGCATTTTAGTCACAAGCTAAAGTTCACGAGTAGAAGTTAGTTTTAAGTTAGTTGACAGTTTTTAAATGTTTTACAATCGTTAAAATAAAGTTCCCTTTTTGTAAAATAATACAAAATGTGAAAATTATTTTATTATCTCAATACAAAAATACAAAAGCATTAAATAGTTTCTAAACGCCAATATTTGCCAAGTTTATATGAACATTGTACTGACCTTTTAATTTCGCCGGCAGTAAACTAAATATAACTTAAAGTCGAACTCGGACTCCACCGTGAAGTGCTAATAAAACATTTCCTTTACTTTCACTGTGAAAAACTGTTGTTTAATTGATTGGAAGACATACATTTTGATTTATTATATTATACAAATATGACATTTGACGGTAACGAAGATTTCGCTATTGTTGTATAGATGGCGCTCTTTACAAATACGTAATTTAAATCATTTTTAAATAGTAAGTATTTGTCGTAGAAAAAGTATAGTATGCAACTCGTTTATAAACTTTTCTAGGCACTCATTAATTTAAACACTCGCAAGCTCGCTCGTGCCTAAATTAAGTTCTTGTCTAAAATCGCGTTTCTCAAACTTGATACATGATATACTATTGTCTACAGTAGATAATCTACTCCTACCCAAGTAACGTTTAAGATACTTTTGATTGATTAAGGGTGAAAAAGTGCTTTAATATGTTCAATAAAACGATATTGGTTTTAAAGTTACCTTAAGATAAACTTAAAGTTCTTAAAGGCGACTTATTTTAATGCAAATTATTTAATGTACTCTTTACATTAAAATAAAAAAAACTATTTGCTCTTATATTGATCTTATACTGGTTTTATTAACTAATTTAAAACTAATTTGCTTTTAAAGGATTAAATAGCAAGTTGGTTTTAAAACAATTCATTTTTGAACAAATAAAGACCACTTTAAATCAATAAGGCCATGAGTTTGAACATATTTAAGCAACTCAATTTTAAAATGAAGCTAGAGTAATTGTACTTAAAGTGGTAAATAAAACGTTGTTTTAAGTCCTTAAGATTTAAAATGTTCTATAAACTTGCAATCAGTTTTAATCTAGATCGCACCATGTTTAATATAAAATACAAATACAAATATTATTAATAAATATGCGCCTTACATCCTCTTAAATAACTGAAGAACGGTGTGTCGAAACCCATAATTGCATGAATTGTAATAAAGAAAAGATGTTTAGATGCAAAACAAAATTTAACGATATTTTTGAAATATTTTGTAAATGATAAAAAACATTGATGGCGCTCAGGTTATGTATAATTAATGTTTTATATTTTTTCAGAAAAGTGCCACCCGTTATTAAATTTTTACCAGAATAGTTTGCATTTAAATATTTTTTATGCTCTGCTTTATATGTATATGGCGTTCTGTTATTAACTATTTCACACAAAAGTCCCACTTTAGTAAACAATAAAACCCTTTTAGGATTAATAATATTGATTTTAAAGGTAATTTAGTCTGCTGCAAGTTTATTTTAAATCCAAACAAGTTTTAATACATAAATATAAAGTTGCCTTTAAGAACTTTTTAAGAATATAAAATTAAAAGTACCTAAATGGCTTTAATATAGTTTTAAAATTTAGTCTCGAAAACCCTTTTTGGATGGGCCCTTTTTGCCTAAAATCTGCTTTATAGTGGTCCTAAGGCTGTATTGAAGATTATTTGGTTTTATTCAAAGTTTTATTGTATAGTTTTAAAGCGACCTTGAAGATCGCAATAAGAGCATTAGGTTTACTTGGGTATTGTATAATATTGTATTTTGTTCGTGAATAATGATAAACATAATAAATTCCCTGCCTAACAACAGAAATAATGAACTCATTATTCACGTTTTTAGACATCAGCGGCCAATCACTAGTGATTGGCCGCTTTCAATATTAACTGTGATTTGAATCAATCGAGTTTTAAATTAGAAGAAGGCGACTATAATAACATTTAAAATTGGTAAATAATAAGGTAAACCATATGACAGATCAAGTACATGTTTTAAATCCATTTTGTCAATATTTAAATTATTGTTAGTTTTATTAGAGTAGTGCCACAATGCATGCTTGCGGTATCTTACGAGTACTGGCTTACTTAGCTTTTTATGTTTACCATTGAAACAAACGGAAACATTTAGTAATAATATGAAACATGATTTTAAAAAAGTGAACTTTGGTTTGGCTCTGGGGTGCAGATATAGGTATTTGTATTCATTAATAAATACATTTTCTATGTATAGAATAAACAACAAATAAAAAGGTACGTGCACACGTACAAACGTAACTAGAAAATGGCTAGTAAATTGTCACCAAACTGCTATATATTTTTAATGAGCTAGTCTGCAAATTCATGACCATAAACGTACTCACACAATACCGTATTTGGACAAGCTTTAGAGCTTACCGTATTCAACCAGCTGCTTAGTGGCTGAGTCGCTGCTAATAGACTATTTATGTCTATGCCCATGCGTTCCTTGAAAATGACTGTTTTTAAAACTGTAGCTAAATACCTAACTCTGCATTGAGCGATTTTAAAGTTTAAATCGTTAAAATTCAATTAGTTTACTTTGTAATATTAAATTAAGTTAACCCAAATTTGTTTTTATTGATATTTAACTTAAAAGTATTTGTCGGTTGAAACGGTCCAAAGTTCCGTTTTTTATTTATTATCATTTAACTTTTAACAAAGCTAAAGACATGTTACATTTAAAGATTGTTCCAATATTTCAATTAGAATATTAATATTATATAATAATAACCCTATAAGGTTTTAAAATTTCCTGAAAAATTGAGCCGGCGCGCCGGAAAAAAACGGAAAAATTGCGAAATTTTCAGAAAATTGGACTTTTTAATTTAGTAAATTGTATTCAAAGGGTAATACGAAAAGATCCAAAAGTCAATTTTTTTCAAAATTTTCAAACTTTTACGGATAGTAAAAAAGTGAATTTCCGACGCTGATTATAATCATATTATTATGATTATAGTGATTATTCCTTTTATTTTAATTCGGTAAGAATATTCTACCGGGCCGCAAAAAAACATATTCGGTACTATATTAACATAACTTTTATTTAACACTTTGATTTAAAAAATTATAATTTTGTAATTTAACTTTATAAATCATTCATTATTTTGTAGGTAGATATTTTTAATGGACTCCTTTTTGCAACAAAAAACAACAGACAGTATATTTCACGTTTACGTTTATTTTCTTAAATTTAATTTAATGTTCAGTTTTATTTTTTTTTTTGTAATTAGGGATTTTTTCTTTATTTAAAATAATGTTAAGTTGTTGATTTTTTTTCAAATGTGTATATTTTCCAAAAAAAATTCAATTTTTCCCAAAAAAAGCCAATTTTTCCAAGGCCTGGGAAAAACGAAAAA